TTCCGGTACCGGGAACCGAACTCACGACCTTGCACTTGCCAGGCAGGCGCTTTTGCCGCTGAGCTAAATCCCCAGCCCCTGAAGATAGAATTCTGCTGTGTTCTAGCTGCCATCGTTTCTCTCTAGGCTTTTGTTTTCCCTTCTTCTTCTTCTTCTTCTTCTTTTTTTTTTGTCTTTTTGAGACAGGGTCTCACCATGCAGGTCAGGCTGGCCTTGAACTCACTTTTGTAGCCCAGGGTGGCCTCAAACTCACTGCAGTCCTCCTGCCTCAGCCTCCTGAGTGCTGAGATTACATGTGTGCACCACCACGCCTGGCCCTGTTTTCCCTTCTTTACACAGGAGATTCCTCACCGCCCTCCCATGGCATTCAGGCTTTTGTGAAGGTTTTTAATTATTTATTTGGCATTTAAGTTGTCCTTAGCAAGATGATTAGCACAAATCATCTAATGTACTGTTTTCCCAAACTAGAAGTCAGTATTGTTTTTATTTTGAATTATATGGGAAAATGAGGGCAATTGATCTTTGTGGATATCCAAACCTTTGAAAAATTTTTTATTAGTATTATTATTATCATTATTATTATTATTATTATTGGAATCAAAGCCAGGGGTGCTCTACTACTGAGCTACACTCTCCACCCTTTTTTATTTTGAGATGGGGTCTCCCAAATTGCCCAGGTAGGACTTGAACTTGCAGTCCTCCTGCCTCAGCCTCCCTCAGTGCTGGGGTTACACTTATGCACCACCATACCCTGCTGCACCCAAATCTTACAAAGCTATACTACCTAAATTGTATTACTGTTGAGTCATTTGTAGGCTGCCAACCAGAATTGTGGGACTCGGAATCTCGGTGGTCCCCGGGAGAAAATGATGAGAGGATTTAGAAAATAAAGACAAGAGACAAAAGCCAAGGTCAGGTGGAGTTACCTCTTACCTGAGGAGCAAGAGGACTGACTTCAACAGTAGGGGCCTTTATTTTATACACTTGCAAAGTTAGTATCATGAGGGGTAATGTTGCCTAGCGACTAACAACTGTAATTGTCCGGCAGGATGCCTTTTTCAATACTGAGGTAGCTTGACTGCCTGAGGCACTCTGGCTCTGTCCTGCCCTCACTCTTATGATCAATATCCAGCCCCAGTGGTGGCTCCCAACATATCTCCCTTTTCTGTTTAGTTGCAGCAGTGATGGGTGTTCAGTTGAAGCTGGAAAAGCTCTGCTTGAAGAATATAGTCCAAAGTCCATTACAGTGGGCAGTTATCAGTCTAGCTGGCAACTGTCAGAAGTTGTTGGTGACTTGAACCTTTTATAGCTAACCTATTATTATGGTATTGTTTTTATACATCTTGTGTACTAGTAAAGAGCCAAGGCCTGGGTCCATTATTTTCTCTTCTTTCTAGCCTCTTTTTTGTGCAAATCTCCTGATAATAAAATTTTATAACATTTTGGGGTAGATGTTACTTAGTATTTCAGTACATTTCAGTGGCTATCATATCTGATTTGCATGTGTAATGTACTTTTTATATCTAATCAGATTTTGTTGTTGGTACATTTTAGATATACATAATGATTCTATTCATCATAGAGAATTTGTACCTGTACATGATATAGCTTGTTTCCTTCCCCTGCCCATTCCCCTGGCTTTTTTTGTTTGTTTGTTTTTGGGACAGGGTCTCACTATATAATTTAGGCTGGCCTTGAACTCATTATGTAACATAGGCTGGTATCTTGGTTGCTTTCTCTTGTGGTTGAGACAAAATACCTGACATCCAAGGTTAAAGGGGGAAAGGTTTATTTAGCTCACAGTTTGTAGAGGGTTCGGCCCATAGCAGCTGGCTCCAAGGCAGGGTGGCACATGGCAGAGGGTCAACAGTTCATGGTGGGTGGGACAGAGGAAGACAGCAAAAGCAACAAGAGCACAAGGGGCAGAGCAAACCTTTTTCCTTCCCTTATATTGTATGCAGGCTACCCACCCTAGGGCAGGTGTAGCACTCACACCCCCAATCCCAGCACTCAAGAATGAACCAATCACAAACTAGATTCATCTGCCTCCTGAAAGCCTGCTCCCGTGACTGAATGAGGTTTTTGGAGGACATCCAGACACAAACCCTCACAGCTGGCCTCAAATTTGTGGCGATTCTCTTGCCTCGGCCTCCTGAGTGCTGGAATTATAGACATTTGCTACCATGCTCAGATAATTTTTAATGGAAAAAGAAATGTTGAAGTCAGCATGATAACTGTGGAATATTATACAATTTAAAAAGCTCCAAGTTATCTTCACAAAGGACAGTAGTTTTTTTCTTATGGAAGACTAGACCTTAAATTTTGTTTATTTCACCAATATACTTTGAAAATAACTCAGAAGCTTAGAGCTCAGTGTACCTAATTCAAGTACAACTCTTACATTATTTGATGTAGTAGATAATTAATCGTTGTAGACCTTTGAAACAAATTCCAAGGTTATGTGGCCAGTGTACACAACTTTTTGGCAAATTTTTTTTTTTTTTTGGTGGTACTGAGAATTGAACTCAGGGCTTGTGCACGCAAGGCACACAGTCTACCACTGAGCCACACCCCAGCCCTTTTAGAAAGGACCACAGACCTGTGACATTCCAGTAAGAGACAGTTATGTTCACCTTTGTCCAGGAGAGTGCAGACACGCACAGAAAGAAGTGTGCCTGCCTTTCTGTGGCCTTCTGAGGCTGTACCTAGGGACTACAAATACTCACCCTCAACTCCCTGATTCAGCCCAGGGTCGGTCCCCCCTCCCCAGTGGTCCTTGTCCAGATAGTACGAATGTGGGCAAGGTCAAGGTGTTAGTTCTTTACAGTTGTCTCCCTCACCCCTTCCTAGCATAAAGGATGTCCTAGGACACCTACCTATTTGGGTCATTTGGGAAATTTTGGATTCTGGAAAATTCAGTCCCTGCAGGCAAAGGAATTCAGATGATTTGATTATTGATGGGATGCGAATGCCACCATTTCTACCGTATGGAGAAAAATCCATTCTTGGAGATCTAACCAAATATTCTTTCTTTTCTTTTCCTTTCTTTTTAATGGCAGCTGTTTCCTCTGCCTCTCCTCTATGTTGGAAACCACTTAAGCGGATTATCGAGCACAAGTAAATTAAGGTATGGTGCAGAACGATGGTCGGTGGGAGGTTGCTCAGCCCTGGCTTCCAGTGGCTCAAAGACTGCTACTGCTTGGGCTATGTAGAGAAGGCAGTAAAGCTTTATAATTTAAGAAAGTAAGTTGAAACTGGGCATGGTGCACATGCCTGTAATTCCAGCACTCAGGAGGCTGAGGCAGGAGAATTGCTGTGAGTTCTAGGCCAGCCTGGGCTACAAGTGAGTTCAAAGCCAACCTGAACTGAGAGTAAAACCCTGCCTCAAAAAGACCAAAAAAAAAAAAAAAGCTGTCATTCTGAGTGGAATTTGATGATATTTTTAAGAGTGTTAAAAAGTTTATTTTGGGGGCTGGGGATTTAGCTCAGCAGCACAGCACCTGCCTGGCAAGCATGAGCTTGTGAGTTCGATTCCCGGTACTGGAAAAAAAAAAGTTTATTTTTTCTTATATTCATATCTCAACATAGAACATGAGACCTGTAGATTTCCCCGGTACCGGAAAAAAAAAAAGTTTATTTTTTCTTATATTCATATCTCAACATAGAACATGAGATCTGTAGATTTCTAGGTAAGAAAGGCATGATTTATTCAGATAGTTTCTTTGTATAAATTCAGTTACATATAACTTTTGGTTTCATCAACATTTTATAAAAGCAGAAACATTTTATCTGCTTTGGCATAGGTCAGGTTGCAGGAGGCAAAAATAAGGAGCAGATGTTATTTCCCAGCTTGTACTATGTACTTCTGACATTTGCATTTATCTCAGTGTTCTTTGATTGACTGATTTTGTTAAAAGTCGCTACGAGAAGTGAAAATGTAGAAGGACTAAGCTTCCCTCATAGCAAATGTGGTGGAAGAGACGTGATTGGACTCCCACAAACGAAGGCCTAAAGAAAGGAAGGTGCTTTGTTCAAATGTGGGCCGAAGTTAAGGGCAAGTCCTACAGCAAGAGAGGACCGGAGGTTGGGAGCAGGGGGACCGGAGAGCAAAGGATGTTCACGAAGGGGAAAGGTGGCGTCAGGCCTGTCATCTCCTCTTGTTTTCGAAGGACAGTTTGTGCTCGTGAAAACTGAAGTACGAAACGCTGCTTTCAGTGGTAGACTTAAGTTGGTTTGTTGGTTCCTTCGAGGACTGGGGCGGTTCTGGGACATTTTTCGTAACCCCTCACATTTGCATGAAGGCTTCCTGTGGCCAAGTCTCTGTGCAGCTGAGGATATGGCTTCAGCTAACAGCACAGCTGCCTCATGCACCTAGGGGTCTGTGACAGACCAGAGCTTGCTGGTGTCATGACAGTTTCTCAGGGAAGACGGGGAACCAGCAAGTGAGGCTGAGAAGTGGAAAGATTTGTTGCTGCTTTGGGGTGTCATGGAACGTATTCCTTTAGCCCTCATATTTTCTGTAAACTGGTAGTTGGTTATAGAAGCCTGATCAGATTCAGGTTCACATTTTCAGGGAAGATCACTTTTATTGGTGATGTCACTGACAGGGCACGTAATGCCCCATTCCACATAGAATGAAATTATATTCAGCTGTTCCTCTTTTCGTTACTATTATTAATAATAAGTTTTTTGGTTTTTTGAGACAGTGTCTCACTATCTAATTCAGGCTGGCCTCAGTCTCACTTTGGAGACCAGGCTGGCCTTGAATTCACAGTGATTCTCCTGCCTCAGCCTCCTGAGTACTGGAATTACAGGCGTTCACTATCACACCTGGCCCTTCCATGACTTTTTAAAGGAGTCAATCTGGTCCCTTCCATAGAAAGCTCCCTCGATTTTCCCCTGATGTTTTTTGCTGCCATTGATAAGCACTGTGAAGAGGCATTATTCCAGGATAAAACTTTACTTAGAGATGTGATGAGCGATAAGTTAATATCCTGTCACCTTTGGTGGTGATCACTGAAAACTGTCTTTTGGTTCTTGGTTTTTCCTGTCATTATGAGCTCATGGATTTTCATGTGTTTGATACAAGTCCTTTGTCAGATGCAAATATTTCTCCCAAGTCTATAGCTCATCTTATCGTTCTCTTAGTACTTATTGACTTGCACAGAGCAGAAGTTCTTAATGAAGCTCCATGATCAGTTTTTTTCTTTCATGGACTGTGCTTTTAATGTCATATTTAAAACTTCTCACCAAACCCAAGGTCACCTAGATTTTCTTTTGTGTTATCATCCAGAAGGTTTATAGCTTATGCTCCAGATTTAAGTTTATGATCCCCTTTGTGTTACTTTTTGTGAAAGGTATAAGTTCAGTTTTTTGCCTGTGGATGTCCATTTGTTTGAGCACCGTTTGTTGAAAGGTCTGTCTTTTCTCCATTGACTTGCCTTTGCTTCCTTGTCAAAGAGCAGTTGATTAGATTTCTGTGGATCTGTTCCTAGGCTATTTCTTCCATTGATCTATTTGTTTTATTAATATGATATGTTTCCGTTCTTTGTAAAAATAATTCTTTTGATGTTCAAACTATCCCATGCCAGGCCATTGGGAGTTCCTTTGAGTTGAGTCTTGTTTTAAGGCCCCAGAAGTCTTTGACGACTTCCTTGTTTTCTGTTGCAGGATGTATTGTATTTGGCTTCCCCTTCTATTTCTCTAAGGATCTCCTGGTTATTTTTACTGTTAAATGATATGTAAAGATCACAGTTTGAACACTGACTAAGTTTTGAATGAAGGAAACAATATCATGATGAATAACTTTCAGGGTGTGAAAGAAAGACAAAGAGGACCTCATGGATTTTGGCCCGATGAGTTGGAAGAATAGGTTTGAAACTGATTGGGTATAATAGGAGAATCACTAGGTCATCTGGTAATTCTCTGTGTAGCACTTTAAAGAACTGCTTTAACTATTTTCCAAAGTGCCAGCACCATTTTGTATCCCCACCAGCAATGTATGAGGGTTGCAGCTTCTCTGCCTCCTTACCAAATTTATTATCGTCTGTCTTTGATTTCAGTCACTCTAGTGATGATGAAGCGGTATCTCGTTGTGGTTTTCATTTTTATTTCCCTGATGACGGATGATGTTGAGCATCTTTTTAGGTGCTCATTTGTATATCTTCTTTAGAGAAAATATCTATTCAGATTCTTTGCGTATTTTTAAATAAGGTTGTTTATTATTATTATTGAGTTATAAGTGTTCTTTATATATTCTGGAAAAAATGTATGATTTATAAAGTTTGATCCTGTGTTTTGGAGTTTCTTTTCTTTTCTTTCTTTCTTTCTTTCTTTCTTTCTTTCTTTCTTTCTTTCTTTTTTTTTTTTTTGATATAGGATCTCACAGTATAGTCCAGGCTGGCCTTGAACTCACCATGTAGCCCAGGTTGGCCTCAAATTCACAGCAGTCCTCCTGCCTCAGCATCGCAAGTGCTGGGATTACAGGCATGCACCGCTATACCCAGCTCTTTTCATTTTCTTAATGGTGTCTGTTAAAGCACTAAAGTTTTAAATGTTTAAAAATTTAAGTAATACTTCAGGTGAACTATACATCACATAAAACTTACTGTTTTAGCCATTTCAAGTGTATGACTCACTTGCATTAAGCGTATTCATGGTGGTGTGTAGCCATCGCCATTACTCATTTCTAGGATGGTTTTATCATTCCAAGCAGAAAATCTGTATCAGTTAAAGAATAAATCCTTACTCCTCTTACCCTCTGTTTCCTGGTATTCACTCCTCTACTTTCCATCTCTGAGAACTTGTCAACTCTAAATGACTCATACCATGGGAGCTGTATATAGTATTTGTCATTTTTTTGTTGAGTGTATTCATGTAGCAAGATGTTTTCGTGGTTCAGCCATGTAGCATGTATCAGAACTTTATTCCTTCTCAAGGCTGAATAATACTCCATTGCACATGTATATCTCATTTTGTTTCCATTTATACAGCTTTTGGGGCGGGGGTTCTGGGAATCAAATTTGGGACCTTTTGCTTGCCAGGCAAACGCTATACTGCTGAGCTATATCCTAGGCCTCTATACAGCTTTTTAATTTTCATGAAGTCCAGTTTATCTAATTTCTCTTCTGTTGATTGTGCTTTTAACGTTGTATCTAAGAAGACTTTGTTTGACCCAAGGTTATAAAGATGCATTCCTATGCTTTCTTCTAAGAGTTTTATAGTTTATGGGGTGTTGGTTCCCACATTTGGATCCTTGAAATATTTTGAGTCAATTTTTTATATATGTTGTGAGGTAGGAGTTTAGTTTGCTCTCTCTCTCTCTCTTTCTCTCTCTGTTTCTCTCTCTTTTTCTTTCTGTACTGTACTATGGATTGAACTAAGGGCCTTTGCAATGATTTACATCTCTGGCCCTTTTTAAAATTTGAGACAGGGTTTTATTCAATTATTAAGTTATCCAGGCTGGACTGGACCTTGTGATCCTTCTGCCTCAGCCTCCCAGAATGCTGGGACTGTAGGTATGCACCACTAAGACTGATTCTGATTCTCTCTTGCTCTGTCTGTTTTGTTTTGGTCTTTTTGAGACAGGGTCTCGCTGTGCAGTTCAGGCTGGCCTTGAGCTCACTTTGTAGCCCAGGCTGGTCTTGAACATGCAATGATCCTCCTGCCTCAGCCTCCCGAGTGCTGGGATTACAGGCATGCGCCACCACGCCCGGCTTCACTGTATTATTTTGATACCCTTGTTGAAAATCAATTGACCATAATTGTAAGGATTTATTTCTTAATTTGGAAAATTAATGGACTTAGTGAAAAAATGAAAGACAGGTTCAAAACAAGAAGACCAACCAACATGGGTTGTCTGATAGTCCACTCGAATCTTTTCCTGACAGCTTGCCGATGTTCACCGTGCTCAGGAAGTTCACCATTCCGCTTACACTACTCCTGGAGACCATCATACTTGGGTGAATTTCGCTTTTTACTTCTCTTCCATTTCCAGTGTGTTCCTACCCCTGCATTGTTTTGACCCAGTGAATTCTTGCCATCCAGCCAGCGTTCCAAGTAGTTGAATTATTAGTTGTAATTACCTGAGGACAAATAGCTTATTTAATTAAAATCAGTTACCTCTTTCCATGATCCACTAAAACTTGATGAAGAACTTTTAAAAAGTGTCATTTTATATTAGACAAACAACACACATTTTTGGTGTAAAATTATAAAAGGAGAAGCAGCCTTCTCAAGACAGTTATAAGTTTGTTTGCTAAGTTCCATAGAATAGACACCATTCCATATTTTGGAATATGGAAGAAAAATTGTTTCTATAATATGGGATAGGAGTGTGGAATATCAAGGAAAGTGATTCTGATGCAATGATTATAACGTTAGAATAAATTAATTTTCATACTATTGGTGTAAAAATTTCCCATAAAGATGATGATGAGAAAGGCAGTTGTGGGTTTGCTGTGACAATTACTTCACGATGAAGTTTAGTGGATGCTTTGCTGATTTAAGCCTCAGCACTGAATTGCACCCTTTTTCAGTCTTTTAATGCTCCATGTAGGTCCATGTGAACCAGACCTCGAGCTAGGTCCTCTTCTGATTCTGTCCCAGCGTCTCTCTGCTGAGAACAGAGATACTAGTTTATAATTTGATTATGAAAACTGCTTAAAAAATAAAGTTGGTCTGATTTACAGTTCTAGTGACTATGTTAAACACCACTGGATCTTAGTTATAAAACTGTGAATGCTGTACTGGTCTGTTGGAAAAGCAGAATCTGCGTTTTTATTTCCCTCTCCTCCCCTTCCCTCTCTTCCTTGCTTCTTTGGGCAGGAAGCAGCACTCCCTGGACATCGTGGTCAGCGTCTTCGCCATTGTCCTTGGGGCTGTTGTGGCAGCTGGGTAAGACTTTTCTCTGTTTCTGCTCAGTGACTTCTTTGTGGGCTTGGCAATAGGGCCAGCCCCATCCTTGGGGTTCATTTATCATCTGGCTGCGGCTGAGTTGAGCAACTAAGTGACAAATGTGTTGTGTGAGTGGGATCCCTGTGGTCCTGTGAGACTCCCAGCTGGGTTCTGTGTTGGCCAGAGCGCTTCTGAGAACACGTATGGTGAACATTACCAGTCACTAGTACAGTTATTCTTTGTAAACAAAGCCAAGCAACTCTGAACTATTATTACCGAATGTCTTCAACATGAATGTTTTTCGTGAGGGCTGGGGTTGTAGCTCAGTGGTAGAGTGCTTAGCTAGCATGTGCAAGGCTCTGAGTGCAATCCCTAGTAGCACACAAAAATTCTGTAACTTGGGAAGTTTTTAAATGTTTGCTTAAAAATAACAGATTTGGAATTGGGAGTGGTGGCACAATTGTAATCCTAGCACTCTTGAAGGCTGAAACAGGAGGAGTCAAAGTTTGAGCCCAGCTAGTGTCTTAGTGAGACTTTGTCTCAATTAACAGAATTTAAAAAGGGCTAAGGGTGAACATGGTGTGAAGGCTGTGGGTTTGAGCCCCGGTACCAAATACTAACTAACTAACTAACTAACTAACTAACTAACTAACAGATCTGAGCTGGAGTTGTGGCTCAGTGGTTGAGTGTGTGTTTAGCATGCAAAAGGCCTTAGATTTAATCTTTAGCAGCACAACCACACACACACACACCCCATGACAGATCTACAAAGCTCTTGTTGTTGCTTGTTTTACCATGAGACCTTAGCATTCACTGTTTCAGTGGTAGAATGCTGTCTGTAAGTGTTTTGGGGTACCAGCCCACACCGGCATATTATTCCTATTCCCCTTTCACTAAATGTGCTTGTATATTTAGGGTAGAAGCCAGCACAGCCCAGGATTACTGCCTGATCTTTCATGTGTAAGAGCCAGAATGCAGAGTTCAAGGTTACACTTGCAGACGGGTGCTCAGATTGGGCCAGTGCATGTACACGGTTACATTTCCCGCACTCACACCTGAGCTCAGCCCCTTGTAAGCTGTTTCTCAGCCTTTTTCTCCTTCCATTTCCTCATCTGTAAAGGAGATTACAGAAAATATGCCTTCTTTTTTTTTTTTTTTAATTTTAAAGAATAAAAGAAGGATAACATAATAATAGGGGGGACATAGCAAATTACAGACAAAATGGTAGGAAATTATCAATGGTTATCATTTTACATATTATTGTCTACAAAATAGTTTCTCAGGAAAACAAATAGACAAATAATAGTGAGTTACAGACAAAAGAGGTAGGAGATTATCAAGAGTTGTTGTACTATACTTTGGTATATGCCTTCTTGATTGAACGCAAGGAAGAAGAGTTTGAAAGAATCTCAGTTAACTTGATTGTTAATTCTCTTAGGTTCATTGCTTGCATCTAAAAAATTACTTATTTATTTTTTGCAGTAGTAGAGAACCGGGGCTTTGCATAGATTCTCTTTAAGTGGTTAAATTGCCCAGATTGGATTTGAACTTGTGATCTCCCTGCCTCAGCCTCCCAGACTGCTGGAATTATTGGTGTGCACCACCACACCAGGCTCACTAATTGCATTTTAAGTAAAGATTTGGGCTGCCAAACAGGATGCCTGGGATCTTCTTCTAGTCTCCTCATTTATTACCTGTTTACCTAGGACAGGCTGTTTAGCCTCCCTATCCCTCAGTTATTTCAGCCCTTGATTTTTTTGTCTTTTTGAGACAGGGTCTCACTCTGCAGTTCAGACTGGTCTTGAACTCACTTTGTAGCCCAGGCTGGCTTTGAACTCACAATATTCCTCCTGCCTCAGCCTCCCAAGTGCTGGAATTACAGGTGTGCACCACCACTTCTGGCCCTCAGCCCTTGATTTTTGAACTGGGATTAAAATAGCATCCACCTCATGAGTCACTGTGAGAAGTAAGTGAAGTAACTCACACTGAGCATGTCCTGTATGCCAGGCATCATTCTGCATGTCAGGAGTTCCGTAGTTAAAAAAGCTAGACAAAAACCCTGGCTGTGATGATGTGTGCCTAGACGTATCCCAAAGCCTTGTGCAGTCATGGTGGGGGGCTTTGCAGAGGTGGCTGGGTCTAGAGTGTAATGCTGGAATTAAGGGTGTGTGATCAGTTCACTGAGTAATTTGGCACTGCCCTGATCCCAGCAGCCTGAACAGAGTATAGAAGGGGCAGAAAGATAATGTTAAGGTCAGTCATTGGTTTGCTGTCTTCTGCCCACCATGAACAGTTTTCCTCTGCAAAGCCACCCTGCCCTGGAGCCAGCCAGCTATAGACTGAAACCTTTAAAAAGTGTGAGCTAAACAAATCTTTCTTCCCTTTAACTTTTGGTGTTGGGCATTTTGTCTCAGCAATGAGAAAAGTAACTAAGACTCTGGCTTTTGTGAAGCTTCTGTTTCAGGTGTAGATACAGACAATAAGCAAAATAAGCAGGCGGAAAGACATAGCATAGTAGGGACATATTAGCGGCAGTGACAGGTTGATTTTTGTTATCCACGTGTTTAATCCCTTGAGTAGATGGAGAGTTATTATTTACATTTCTTCTGCCCCCTTTGCTTACCCAGTCTTCATTGTGGACTGAGGCCAGTCCCCTTGAAGCTCTGTCACATCCTCTGGAACAGGGCCAGCTCAGGAAATGAACAGTGGCACTTGGAGAAAGTTTTATTCATAAACACTGCTCCAAGCACGTCCTGTGGAGAAAGTAGCTTCAAAGGGGAAGAGCTTTGTTGAGGGTGCCCTCTTCCTTCAGTGCCCTGGGCCTCCTTTCTCTTCTGGGTTCCTTATGGCTTTGAAAACCACTGACTTTCAGCCAGTTGAAGACTTCAACAAAGTGGTTTATAAATGTGTACTTCTTTGGTGAAGAATGTCCTTCAGATGCTGTGTGTGTGCGAGGAAATTTATTCAGCTCATTTAGTGTGTTTAATGATAACCTAGTGAAAGGGTAAATCCTGTATCTGAAAGCATCTTTTACCCAAGAGCCGACTGGGCAGAGATCCTCTCAACTGTCCCCTTCTCTAGAATTCGGAGGAAGAACCCCGTCTGGGGGTGACATTCATGTGCTGAGCTGCAGGCCAGCTGTGAGTCCTTTTCTTCTTGTGAGTTAACTCATCCCCGTGCAACAACTGCTGGATCAGACTTGGTTATAGGAGTCAGCTTATGCTACTGTAACAGATACCCCACACACTGCTGGTTTAACACACCATACATGAGGTGTGATCAAAACTACACTGAACGTTTAAATATTTTTTTAAAAAATCACAGTAAAGGACACATTGCCATTAATCTTCCTCAAAACATTCCTCTTTGCCTTGGAACACTTGACCCATTGTTCTTGCCGCTTTCTGAAGCACTGCTGGAATCTTCCTCCTCGAGTGTCTTTAGTTGCACTGTAACAGCCGCCTCAAGGTCCTGAGTGAGTGCAGTATATTTACATTCCACGGCCATTTTGACTTTGGGGAAGAGCTAGGAGTGGCACAGCGGCAGAGCTGGTGAATAGGGTGGGTGAGGACTCATCGTAATATTTTTATGAGTCTGCCTTTCCATGTGTGAGATGGCACTGTGCCAGTCTGAGCAACAGAGCGAGATAGTGGCTCCACAAATCAGTGAGTGAATGAGCGAACGAACGAACGAATGAATGGTGAGCAAAGAAATACATTTGCCTACTCTCGGGTACTGAGCCTAAGTTAGAGGAAAAGTGTTTTCTTCCTGGCCATTTATGAAGTACGACCTGGGTCTGGTACTGTCTGTCAGATGAAGTGCAGGTGAATGGCCACATCATATACCAGTTATCCTTCGCCCTCTTGTCCCCGTGTGGCATCCTTCCAAACATTTTTATAACTCGCGCTGTTCTGTTTAAAGTGAAAACTGACAAGGAGATGTTTCCAGGTCCTGGGAGAGTCGCACAGACGCCCTGATGCCGCCTTCGTCTTGTGATGGGCGGGGCGCTGTTGGGGCAGCTGGTGGGGCGTTGCTTCCCACACGCCCTTCTTGTCCAGTCCCTCCTCCCTGTCCCCAAGGGGTGTACTGGGGCTGGGCCCCTGTACGACAATAAGCAAAGGGCTTTGCGGCGAAAGGAAGATGGGAAGGTCCCTGGGTCTCCAGGAGTAATTAAGTTGAAGCCGCCCCATTGGCTGGGTTTGTTTTTGTCTGGAGGCTGAGCAGAGGCATTAACCATTCACCACCAGGAGGGGGACACACGCAGAGAAAAGGTGTTACTAGCACTTCACCAGAGTTTGATTGGGACTTTGAGGCCAGGTTACAAGTTTCGAAATAATCATTCCTGTTTTGTGTTCTTCCTTTAGTTCCGACCTTGCTTTTAACTTGGAAGGTTATATTTTTGTATTCCTGAATGACATCTTCACAGCAGCAAATGGAGTTTACACCAAACAGAAAATGGACCCCAAGGTACCAGCTCTTCCCTCTTAGAGCTTTTAGAATTTGCCCATTGGCCCCAAAATGCCAGGAGAAGTAAATATGAATTTGTATGTTGTTGTGTAATTTACGTTATATGATCTATCAGTTTTCTGATAGATTTCTTTTTAATTATCTTGTGTAAGTACTTGTTACTCCTAGTCTTGAAAAACTTTGGGAGAAAATTAGATAGGGAAAAACAGATGCCACTATTTTATTTTATTTTGTTGTGGTTCTGGAGATGGAATCCACAACCTCTTACACAGTAGGCAAATGCTCTAACACTGAGCTATATTCCCAGCCCAAAATGTCACTGTTTTACATGCTCACTCAGGAGGAATCAATCAGTCTGTCTGTCTGTCTGTCTGGAAAAGCACATTCTTTTTTGTCACTGGCTGCTGTGACTTTGTTCTTTTTTTTTTTTCTATCCTGAGTTTGCATCTTCACTTTTCCAAACTGCAGTTTCCTCTTTGTGGGATAAAGTGACTGGAGTGGCAAATGTGTGAGGTCCTCCAGCACAGGTCTTCTCACTGCAAAGTGTGGTGGCCCCAACCCCAGCTGTCACCGGAAGCCTCCGATGAACCCGGCATATGGTTCTTTGTCCCATGTTCTTTGTGTCCAGGGACTGGGCTCACTCCAGCCGCAGGCTCATTTCCATAAGCATTTTTTTTTTTTTTTTTAATCTCTGTGGTCATTTGTTTCTTTTAATGGCAGTAGTTTTACAAAGCCAGGGTTGTTGCCTTTTGAAAAAGCACAATATGCCACTCTTTTTTTGGTGGAAAACGTGGTGTGGTCACTTTCATGAAAGTAAATACATAACAGGCTTTTCTTCAATGGAGGGAATGAGATGCTTTGAAGGAGTTTTTACGTTAACATTTTAAATATTTTATTTCAGATTCCTCATTTTGCATAACATGGTTTAGAAAAACCTCACGGAATGGTAGAGACAGTCAACCCTGGAGGCCTTCTGTTTTCAGCCATTTTATCCATAGTTTTTGATGTCAAACAAATATTTATTCAGAAATCACAGCACAACTGAAATGCAACATTTTACGTCAGAAATTTGCTGAAACTATTTCAGAGTTGGTCAGATGCATACTCTAATTTGAATAGATGGGTAGTTGTACAGATAGTCCCAGGAAGTCCCATGCTCTGTATTTCTAAAGTTGCCTGGGCTTTTGTTCTGTGTTTGCAGGAGCTGGGGAAGTACGGAGTGCTCTTCTACAATGCCTGCTTCATGGTTATCCCCACTTTTCTTATTAGTGTCTCCACCGGAGACCTGCAGCAGGTGAGCCGGTGACGGTCATTGCGGTCTTACTTAGCCAGCTTTTACAGTGTCAATAGTCAGCATTTGGTAGTAGTGAAATTCGAAGTGTAAAAGTAGCCAGGCTTACCAGGAGTGCACATAAAAGCAAAGCTTGAGAGCCAGGTTCATCTGTGGCCCAAGCTACTCCTGACGATGAGGCAAGAGCGCCTCCTGAGCCCAGGAATTCAGGACCAACTAGGGTCACAAGGTGAGACCCTCTCTCAACAAATGAGTGTGATAACCTTAATGATCCTTGGGTACTATCTTTACAGTCATATTTATCTTTAGACAGTTGGGGAGTAGCAAGACGTAGTAACAGAACTCAGAATGTGAAACTTTTTGGAGAGCCATAAAAATCTGAGTTTGAGTAGCACTGTCCACCACCCCTGGGTCGTGCCCCACTTTTCCTCTAACTTAGGTTCAGTACCCTGGCCCCTGGGATTTGACCCCGGCTCTCAACACTGAGCAGCATCCCCAGCCCTTTACAATTTTTTTATGCTGAGACACGTTCTCACTAAGTTGTTTAGTTGCCCTGGTGGGACTTGAGCTTGTGATCCTCCACCACACCTGGCTCCCACTTTCCATTTTTGCTGAGGTGGCGATCCCAGCACAGCTACAACCCTGAGAAGGAAATGTGGACACTTTTGAAAAGGGAGTACATATGTATGTATGTATATATGTATGTATGTATGTATGTATATATGTATGTATGTATTGATTGTGGCTCTGGGGATTGAACTCAGGGCCTTTGCACTGGTCTATATCCCTAGACCTTCTTTTATTTTGAGACAGAGGCTCACTAAGTTGCTGTGTTTCCTAGGCTGGACTTGAACTTGTAGTTGTCCTGACCCAGGCTTCCAGAGTGCTACAGATATGGGTGTGCACCACTTTGCCTGGGTAGTAGCTTCATTTTTCTATTTATTACCAAGAATAAAAATCATGTAACTCTTAAAAACTCTTGGAAAAGATATCTCCCCAGAGGAACAATGTTCTGAATGCTATAGTGGCCAGAAACAGCTTTTTAGGCACCTTAAGAGTAAAACAGACAAGGCGCATGGTATTTATACCTTAAAATAGTGTTTCTGTAGTAATATGTGTTCCCACATCGAGTCACTGATTTACACACTTCCACAAGGTGTTTCTGGATGTTGTTGCGACCTACCATGCTCACCACGCAGGAGTCTTCTCCTTTCTTGTGAAGAACAGTGATGCTAAGATTCATGGAGCGTGTTTTGGTTCATTATTTGTGACTGTCTCATTGCATTCCCACCCCGGTCCTCATAGGAGAATACTGCCCCTATCCCCATGTTATAGGAATGGAATTCAGGGCTAGAGCTTAAGTAACGTCCTGAGGACAGCAGGTGATACATCCAGCAACCTGGTCTAGAAACACATCCTTAGCTATAGTCTCAACTATTCTATTTGTGTAAGAAAAGCCAGTGTTTCCTTCCTTCACTGTGAAAAACTGTAAGATAACTCTTGTATTTTACAAAAAGAGACCTAACATATACTGCCAGTCCTCATCTTTTTAAAATTTTTGTTTCATTAATTTTACTAATCTCTTTTGAGACATGATTTTCCTATATTGCACAGGCTGTTGTCAAGCTCCTAGACTCAAGTGATCCTCCTGCCTCAGCCTCCCAAGTAGCTGAGACTATAGGCATGTGTTTCCATGCTGAGCTGGGCTTCATCGTAGCATGGCTTGACCTCACAATTTTTGGCATTTACTGGAGAGTGAAGGTGATGTTCGTTCAATAGAAAGCATAATTTGAATCCTACATACTGCTCTTTCTCTTGCCCCTAGTTTCCTGTTTTGGAGGGTGTGCAGTTTCAATGCATACAATATACTTTGGTCACTTTCTGTGCGGGCGATTTTATGCACCAAATACAACACAGAGAAGAGACTTTGTGTACACAGAGTCTCATCTTGTTTGCCAGGTTTGGTTTCATTGTCCTGAACGCTGACTGGAGAAATGGAGCAGGATGCTGACTCCTCTTGCTGGTGGAAGGAGAAATTGAATGCGCCCTTTTCTCTGGCTGACTGGTGACTAGGCGTGGGAGAGAGGGACAGGACCAGAGACCACCGTGACCTGTGTGTGTGACGCACAGCTGCGCGAGCTCCATCCCGACTCCATGTTCACACAGTTGCTAGATTTATTAACAGGACCTTGATTCTACCTCGAGTCAGCAAAGTCAGAGACGACAGCGCCTCTTGTGGACAAATCAGGCCCCTGGAAAGTAGTCTGAGGTGAACTCTGTTTAGTCACACAGTTCTCTGAAGAGGTCCAAAGTCCATTTGGTGCTTCACAGCTGATAAATAGGGATTTAAAAAATAGGACTTTGTTTTTTCTTCGCTGAAAAACAAACCCAAAGCGCAAAATGAAAAAGATTCACATTTCAACATACTTTGATATAAAGAGCAGTCTAAAGGTAGTACTTTGTTATTAATCTTTAGTTACTTTGTTTTTAAATAAACATCATGCTGCATTATTTTTGAAACTGCCAACTTCATAGACTCATTTTTTTTTTTTTTTTTTCCGGTACCGGGGATCGAACTCACAACCTTGCGCTTGCCAGGCAGGCACTTACGCCACTGAGCTATATCCCCAGCCCCTAGACTCATTATTATTAAATACATAAAATAAACTGAAATCTATAAAAACTTACGTTGGCAAAGAATCTGCATATTTTAATGAAAATTACTAACAATCCTCTGTTTTTATTGGTATCAGGAGTACATAGTTTGCATTTGCTATTTGCAGAAAAACCTTTAGCTGTTTGAGAAAATGTTGTTTTTTTTTTTTTTTTTTTTTTTGGGTTTTTCTCTGGTACCGGGAACCGAACTCATGACCTTGCGCTTGCCAGGCAGGCGCTTTTGCCACTGAGCTAAATCCCCAGCCCCGAAAATGTTGTTTTTATCCTTGGCTTGAAGTTTGGGGATTTTTTTTTTTTTTCTATTTCAAATATTCTTTTAATTTGAGATACGTGTTTTCCATACTTTTATTATTTTCTGTCGTTTTGGTCTATGACTGCTTATGCATCATCTTTTTGGCTTTAATTCTCTTGGATATTTTTCTGCCCTTTATTTTTTTTTTGTTTTGCTTTGTTTTGTTTTTCTTCTGGTACCAGGAATTGAACTCATGACCTTGTGCTTGCCAGGCAGGTGCTTTGCCGCTGAGCTAAATCCCCAGCCCCTTTTCTGCCCTTTAATAGGCTTGGGGCTTCTCAGTAAAATGGATTTAAAATTATGATTTTTTTTCTTTTATAAGCATTTTGTGTCTGTATTTACATGTAGGCGTGTGTACATGTGTGTGTGTATGTGTGTGTGTATGTGTGTGTGTGTGTGGGTGTGTGTGTGTGTATGTGTTGTTGGGGATCTGACCCAGGGCCTTTTGTGTATTAAGCATGAGTTTTACCAGTGAGCTGTACTCCAAACCCACAAGTAAGCGTATAAAAAATTGTCTTATGATGGAAGCTTTCAAACATACAGAAGCATGGAGAACAGTACAACCCATGTGCCCCTCAACCTGTTTCTCTAGTCTTGTACCTTTAATGTATATCTTTTTGATAGAAGTCGGCAAAGTACTACTAATGAATCAGTGTCAGCAAAATGTGACACAGCTCTACTAAGTATAGAATTCCATTCTAATTGTTTAAAATTTTGAATTATAAACTTAAAAATGATGAAAATAGTTTTAAATGTACAGAGTTACTAAAACTTGATTAACAAATTATGGCTTACCTGAAAGTGAACAGAGCTTTGATCAATCATTTTTGTTGTTGTTTTTTTGACACAAAGTCTCACTATATAGTTCAGGCTGGCCTTTAACTCACTATGTAGCCCAGGCTGGCTTTCTACTTGCAGTGTTTCTCCTGCCTCAGCCTCCTGAGTGTTGGGATTACAGGTGTGCACCACCATGCCTGGGTCCCCATCATGTCACTGAGTGCATCCTTATGTACAGTCTAGAGCCATCTTGAAACTTTGGAGGCAGGTGAGGGATACATGAAAAATACTTGTTTTTATTGTTTCTTGCCATTTCAGTTGGGTAATTATATTTTCTCAGTAAGGAATTAAGTTCCTGGGAAGCAGAAATTGAGCCTGAAGCTTCACTGTCTACCATCTTTTCTACCTCAGTTACCTGATTGCTTTGTAGTAATTCATAGTTCATTTGTCCATGATGCAGGTTCCTGAAAACAGTTTATGAACTTGAACTTTCCTTGACAGCATTGTTGGTTTGGTAATAAACTCTTCATAGATTATTTATACAAACTACGTCAAACTCAATTTCATCATGATGAATTAGCAAAGATTTGAAAGGTGCATAGTAGCTTCAGCAATTACAGCTATCATTTTGTACTGGCCGCCAGTGAAGTTGAATGTCACGCAGTCCTCACACCAGCCTTTTAAGGAAGCTGTTGTTGCTTTCAGTAATCCTTATTTTGTAAAATGAAGCCGAGGTTCAGGAAGGGAAAGTAATTTGACCAACTTCACACAGCTAGCATGGCGCAGGATTTTAAAAACTGGACCTTCTGGCCAGGTGTGGTGGCGCACGTCTGCAATCCCAGCACTCGGGAGCCTGAGGCAGGAGGATTGCTGTGAATTCGAGGCCAGCCTGCGGTACAAAGTGAGGGCAAGACCAGCCTGAACTGCATAGTGAGATCTTTCCTCAAAAAGACAAAACAAAACAAAACCAAAACCAAACCAACAAAAAACCCCAAAACCCAGAAAAACAAAAAAAAAAACAAAACTGGACCTTCTGAGGAGGAAGGGTTAGGACCCCTTTCCTGTTTGGTATAAGAAAGTGGTTCCTAGGGGCTGGGGACTTAGCTCAGTAGCACAGCGCCTGCCTGGCAAGCGCAAGGTCGTGAGTTTGATTCATGGTACCGGGAGGGGGTGGGGTGGGGTGGGGGGGGGAAAGGAAGTGGTTCCTATACCAAAACAGAGTTTGGTTAAAGCAAAAGATTTAATCCACATTACCATTTATCTAATCATCAGTTTCTTTTCTTTTTAATAACAGGCAACTGAATTCAACCAGTGGAAGAATGTCTTATTTATCATGCAGTTTCTTCTTTCCTGTTTTATGGGGTAAGAAACTATAGAAAATAGAAGTGCATGTCCATGGTGTCTCTCAATGAGGCAAATCTAAATATACCAGTGTTTGCTCTGTCAAGTCCCTTTGGTTTTTCTCTGAAAATTACATTTCTCTCTCTGTCTGCATGGGGCTCTACATTTGCAGATTCAACCAAGTGTGGATAGAAATATTTGAAAACAGATTGTGCCTGTAGCGACCATGTATGGACCTTTTCCTTGTCATGATTCCCTGAATCAGTGATGGGGAACCTTTTAGAGCTTTCAGTGATAACAAACAGCACTGTGCCGCATGAGTGCCATAGGTTTGCCACCACTGCCTTAACTCATTCAGCACAACAATAATCTATGAAGCATTCACACTGTCTTAGGTCCTCTAGGAAACCTAGAGATGATTTAAAGTTCACAGGGAGGTGGGTCTGGGTAGGTTGCATGCAAATCCTAAACCATTTTATATAAGAGACTTGAGCAACTGCAGACTTGGGTATCGATGGGGGTCCTGGAGCCACTGCCTGGGGAGATGGGAGGGACACTGTCCCACTGCAGCAGGGGTTACCTGGGAACCAGGACACCAGGGAGCACAGCCGGAAGGCCAGGAGCAAGCACTAAGGTCACATTCTACTGCAAAATATGACACCGCTATTGCTTCCTGAAGGTTTGTCTGAAATGAAGTCAGCACACCTCTCCAGTGTAGTACTGTGGTTTCACCATGTCCTTAATTTTCCAAGATTTTCACATAAATATGCAGCAATTGATACAGAGGAAAGAAACTCCCAGCCTGCTAGATGTCTGGTACAAGTTCATGTTCTCTAAAATTGCAGGATTGATTCTAGAACAACAGAGGTTAAGAGGAGAATATATTTATTGGGGAAATAAAGCTTTGTCTGAGAGAGAGACAAGGGGTCCCGAGTGGGTTGCCTGGGACCTGCCTTTTCTAGGAGTTTTTGTACAGCAAAACTACGAGGTGAGGCGGGTCCAAGATGGGGAAAAATGGGAAGCTGGAAGGTGGGCATGACGTGGAACGAAACTGTGGTCAGCCGATAAGATTCTGAGCATAGTTGCTCAGGTAATACTGATTAAATGGATCAAATGGGGGAAGCAAATTATGTAGCAAGGGGGCATGAACAGAACAGGGGCTTTTCCTGGAGGGCGTTGGGTAGGTGGCTCTTCCTGACTTTCCCAAGGTGTTTGATACCTGTTTAGATATTGTTTGTCCTTGGAGGATTGATACCTATTTAGATGTTGTTTATCCTTGGGGGAAGCATGTGGGTGCATAGGTTTCATTTTTTGTCTTGAGGTCTGGTCCCCAGCAGAGGTACCTCTTCCCTGCCACAGTTACAATGTATCTGTCTTCTGCACTGGCTCCTTTGAGGGTTTAGCCCTGTCTCTCTGCCTGTAATGTTTCTACCTAACTTAGCTGTCTACAACACAATGACAGCTTTTTCCTTGAGTGCTGCACCTGTGACATGCAGGGAGATGTCCGAGGAGAGATGAGGTGTCCAGGCTGTTTATGATGTGACCATTAGGTTTTTATGGTTGAAATCTTAAGGGTATTTTCCTGTTGAGAGGCTATGTGTCCTTTTCAGTCTTCTAAAAATTGAAGATTCCTTTGCATGAACAGGTGATGCAGACAACTAGTTAGTAATTCAAAAGATGAAAAGAATAAACAGGGAACCCCAGCCACCTCCCTTGGTCCCTGCACTGTACTGCCTGCGCTGCCATTTTCCTCGCCGTTGGAAGCCTTGGGGATGCAGCTCCTGAGCTGGCAGAACTGGTATTTATGCACACTGAAAGGATCTGTGGATCACTGTCTTATGGGATTACTCAGCCAAACATGTTTATCCTGAGAGAGGTGACTATGCCGCTTATTTTTAATTTTTACCATAAAGACTACAGTTTTCAATATGTGTAAAAGAACCAATGCTCTTTGTCAAGCTTGATAGTAACTGCAGTGTTGGAGTCACATGCACTCGAGCATGCATGCATATCTTCCACTCATTAATCCTCTCTTTAGCTGTGTCTGATTTAATGTTTATTCTGTACTAGAGATTGACCTATTTTATATTTCATCTGTAAGAGTTCCAGAGTTTTTTCCCGTCATTTCTTCATTTTCAACACTGTTTCCTGGGTGATTTGTGACTGTACTTTTTAATTTTTTAAATTGTGCCATGTGTAGCTATTCTAGATTGTGTATCTGATGATTCCAGAAGTATGGGATTTGTTGATTTAGCTGTCATTGTGATTGGCTTTCTCGTGTGTTTGGTGACCTGTGATTTGAGCATATTGTGTAATGTTAATCAGTCCCATGGTCTGAAATTGGAGATTGGAGAACTTTCCTCCTGGGACAGAGTGGATTTGCTTCTGGTTGTAGGCAGGTGTTGCCTTAGACCTGGCCTCCATCAGGTCTCGTTCATGTCCCTCCCCTCTGGAGTATGGCCCAAGGCTCAGGTTCCAAACAGTGCTGTCCCCCAGTGTCCCCTCCCTGAGGCAGCCCTGCCCTGTTCTGTCCTCTGCCTTGCAATGGGGGGAGTGGCTTCTTGTGTTTCTTTTAGGACACCATCTCGCATAATGACCTTTTCAGGCAGGAGACCTTCAGTGTAAGGGTCCCTTAGGGTGCTTAGCCATTGTTGGCAGCATGAGTTTAGTGAAATTTTTATAGTTCTCCCATTGTTTTTTTTTTTTTTTTTTTTTTTTTTGGCTTTTTTGTGGTACCGGGAATCGAACTCACGACCTTGCTCTTGCCAGGCAGGTGCTGTGCCACTGAGCTAAATTCCCCAGCCTCTAGTTCTCCCATTGTTGACTGAGAACATTTAATCTTGGAGAAATCTAAACCACATCTCTGAGTCACCCTTTGTGCAGGCCCGCCCATTAAAAAACAAAACAAAACTCAGACCAGCTCCCTTCCCTGGCTAAGCGTGCTTGGGTCTTATGTCACAGCAAGGTGAGGAGGAACTGATATGTTTTCTTTGCGCTTTCTTATTTAATCATTGTGAAGGAAATCGATAAGCAAACCCTCTGAAATCGATAAGCAAACCCTCTGAAATCGGTGTCCTTGTTGCACGGGGGTGGGGGTGGGGGGGACGACCACAGTGTAAACACTGCCGAGGACTGGGAATCATGCATCAATAAAGAATTAGAAATGTAAGTTTAGAAGGGAGAACAAAAATGCTTTATGTGAAAGAAGGAAGAGAAGCAGAGGACAGCAACCTTGTGAGAAGGAGGGGATGTGGACCGGGATCCCCT